ACCTGACCATTCTCAGACACTTCCAAGGTTACTGACTTATCAACAAGCCCAGTGTTTCAGTTGAGGTGGGGGGTGGTGACCCACACAGCAGCAGAGATGTCAGACTGAAAGAACACGCCAGCACACCGACCCTCAAGCACTGACATGCCGCATCCAGTCTTCTCTCTGGCAAGCCTGGTTTCACCCCCATCCCCCTTCAAAGCTAGTTTAAAGCTCTTCCTATAAGCCCTGCTAATTCTTGTCCCAGGATCCTTTTCCCCCTTTGGGACAAGTTACCCCATCTGTGACTAGCAGCCCAGGTGTCTTACAGACCAATCCATGGTCAAAGAACAAAGTTCTGCCAGTGACACCAGGCTCAAAGCCAAGAATTCATCTGATGGCTCTTCCTGCAAAACCCTCATCATTCCCTGCAGTTGATGGGACAGAGAAGAACACTACTTGCGCTCCCGATTCCTTAACCAGCTGCCCAGGGCCCTCTTAATTGCCTGTGGACTTCTTTATTTAAATCCATCACTACCTACTTGAAAAATTGATAACTGGTAGTAATCTGAGGGATGAACCAGGGTAGGAAGCCTTCTTTTTTACTTCCTTGACCCTGGCCCCAGGGAGGCAGCAGACTTCCCTAAGCGGGTCCAGTCTGCAAACGGGGCCTTTTGGTCCCTTCAAAAGCGAGTCACCTATGACAAGAACATGCCTTTTGTTCTTCACTGAGGCTGTTTTGATACGGGGCTTAGTTTGACTTCGTACTGGCGACCCCGCTAAGTTAGGTGAACCTTCATCCTCGTTGGTGTTTGATTCTCCCTGCAGAGCAGTGTATCCATTTCGCGAGGGAACCTGGGGAGGTGCGGTAGCTACTGGGGTGCCATGCCTGCTGTGCCTGCCAGGCACTTGTCACCACTGATCCCTATCCTCCAAGTCATAACATTCAGCGAGATGGAGAGAGGACAGGGAACCTTTCATGTCCTTAGCACCATGTGCCTGTTGGGACTGTTCCAAGGAAGGTAGAGGCTGACTCCACCAGTCTATCCCTCTCTCACACTCCCTTACAGCCCTCAGCCTTTCGGCCGTCTCCTTCACCCCAGACACAAGGCTGAGCAGATCATTCACATCTAACACAGGTGGTGTCTCCACAGTCCCTCATTGCAAATGCCAGGTTCCGGCACTCTCTGCAGCTGGAGGCCTGGACACCTACTTGCTTGCGTGGGACCTCTGTCTGGGTCGCCACGTTTCTTTTTGACAACAGCTTTTGGCCAGGTTGCAACCACTGCTGGTCCTGCCCGTGTACCTAACCACGCAAACGCCAGGTGACTGAGCACACCCCTTCCTGTCTGACCTTGATCGGTGCACAGGGATCTGATCCCTGCGCTCCTAGCGGGGGTTAAACAGCCCGCTGCAGCTCCGCCTCCCTGGCAAGAGCTGCCAGCTCCATGAGGGGATCAATCCCCGCTGGCCACTTGTCTCCCAATTTCAAGAAAAAAGACCCTGTGCGCCGAGTTCTGCCACGCTGCCCTGGGGACAGTCTGACTCCAAAGGCTGACCTCAGCGACCAATAGGACTTGGCACAAATTTCTGCATTGGGATGTAGAAAGGCAGGCCTCTGACAGACCTGACAGAGCTGAAAACGAGAACCAAGAGTTAGAAAGACAAAACTAGAGTGCTCCAGGAGGAAGAAGATACAGGACTATTCAATTGTAATCATTCCTAAAAATCAGTTCAGGCTGCTACTTTTTTTTCCCCCCACCATGAAATGCTGCCTGAAGAAACTGCAATTAATTTATTAATTAACTATTAAAAGAAACATGGGAACAAGATGGAAATAACTAAAAGCTGGAATATCAGTGTATTTGGTAGTATCATACACGCTCGCCTTGTTCTCTCTCCATCATGTTGCTGGTGTTTATTTTTACATTTAAGACACATAAAAGAAAGAAGCAATGAACTGCCAGCGGACCATAATGCAAGTTCCACAAACCATGCAGACAATTTAAGGCCCAAAAGTCCTCTTCAACCCTTTTTTTTTTTTAATTATTTGAAATGGAGTTGATCATGTCTATCATTTTAATTCATACTTGTAACTTAAATTTAACAGCATAGGAAAAAAAACGAAACACAAACAAACTAAATACTAGTAAAAAGGGCTGAGTTTTGCACTTTGCCAGGCAAACACATCCTTTATACAGAGAGGGTTATTTCAATACATATACCTTAGAATAGTTGTGTTTGGATTCATTTTCCATCTTGCATATTTCTTGGTCCAGATTCCAGCCAAATCTCTCTGACAGAGCATCATCCCCGTTTTCCCTTATTCTATTTACTCCATCATCCATGGCTGAACCTCTTGTTTCCACAACCAACCTCTGCTCTATCGCAGGATAGTAGGCCCGAGGCTTCTGGTAACAGTGTTCACTCGTAATGTAAGATTCCTCCACAGAAGGAACGGTTGAGGGTTTCTCAACTGTCCCATTCCAAGTTCTATAACTTGCCGTCTCTTCTTTACAACAGTTTTCCTCTATGTGAATGATGTGTTTCGTATGAATTTTTTCATCCACTGTAATATGCTTCCACGGGTGGCACCAAAGCTTCAGGTCAGGATGTTCTTTATTTCTGTTCAGACATAAAAAAGTGAAACACCCAAATTTAAATGCCAAAGTGACTGAGCAAATGATCCTATTACATAAACAAATTAAGTAAGGATATTTGAAGTATTACATGCTTTAGACATCATAATCACTAAAAAAAAAAAATACCCCAAACTCTGAAATGATATAATTTCACTGACCTCAATTCCTATAGTGTTCTGTTAGGCAGACTATTTTAATTTCTATAATATAGTATATAAGCCAAGTGTTGGCGTTAAGAAAAAAAATAGAAGAAACGTTTCAAATAGATACATACAACTTTTCACCAGTTTTGCCCTTGAAGGGGCATTTTGCTTCAATATTTGCAATTTATTAACAGCATAAACTCATTTTCACTGGGATATTTTTAGTAAGGTAAGTCAAGTATACTGAAGCTAAACTAAGATTTTAACGATTTTAAACACCAGTAAAACAAAAAGACCCCTTCAAATCACTCAGTATCAAACTTTAGCCTGTAGTTCTCCAAAACAAACTCCAAAATTCAATCCACCAATCTTTTATAACCCTCTAATAACAACAACAACTGGGGACTTGGGGGAGATAGTGGTGTAGAACTTTATTATTTCCTTTAAAACTTTAACTTTCCTTTAAATCCCAAGACACTGAGCAAACGCTACTGCCTGGTAACACCAGTGTGCCACAGTCCCCCACCTGCCTCTTACAAAAAGTCTTATTTTAGTTGTTTTTAATTTGACTAATACGTTATTTATTCCAGCAGCAGGGATAACTATAGGTTTCAGATTCTTGCATGGATAAACAAAAAATTTAGAGTGAGTGTTGCTGCTGATACTGTTCTTCCACGTGTCTGTGAAGCATTAAAACAGCAGTAAAAAGGAGAGCAAAGCAGAATCACTCTGCTTATCTTCAAAGGGTCAGCAGCTTATCTGCTACAGGCTGTAAGAATGCAGCGGAAGCAAATCGTGACCCTAAAGCACCTGCATTCAGCTGCATGGAAAGGGGGGGGCCTGCCCCAAAACCCCACTCAGTGCTGGCTTCAAACAAAGGCAGACAGGCTTACTCCCATAAAGCTGATCCAGCTTTTTCAGCTGTTAGCCAAACCACTCAACAAAATATGACCACTTTGCTTCCAACGTAATTGCCTTCTAGGCTGTTCTACAGCAGCTAAGGTTTCTTCAGCATCTATCAGAGGAAACGACAGTTCGTCCAACTGCCAAGGATTTGCTCAGGCCACCTCATACAAGCACCTCTACCTCCAGCGCATCTACGACATACTTGGTGAGCAATCCTGAAGGCATGCCTGCAACAGTGAAAGCCAAGTGCTCGTTTACCAAAGCTTTCTACCCCAGCTCCACTGGAACTAAATGCATTACTTTGCTCAGCAAAGAGCAAGGGATGACTTTACAGATGACAGATGATGCACCAGCTACATAAAGATGAAAACTCGAATGCTTAGCACTTGAGCAGCCTTTTAACGATTGCCTGCTGAAGGCTGGCTCTCCCTCCCATTGCACCGAAGCTGACAATGTCACATCTGATCCCTTGCCACCTCCCTGAAACACTCAGCAACACTCTCCTAAATTTCAGGCAGCTGTGAAATTATCTGCTCTCCCCTAGATAGTAGATCTCCATCAACAATATAATCATTCTTCTAATTCAGCAATTTAAAAATTCCTTTCTGATTTACATAATGAAGAAAATAGGGGCTGTAGCTTTTAACAAGATGGTCCTAACAGGACCACACCTCATCTTTAACTAAACCAAGTCATCACACCAATTTCAGGACAGGAGAGAAAAGGAACAAAGTCTGTAACAAGCATCACATACTTGCCCAGTGTTCCATACCATATTACTATGCAATTCTCAATTTACTCTACAACTGGAAACTCACAATTTAAAGTCTGTCTGTTTAAGAAAAGACGTAAGCAGTGGGCTTACAACATCTGTGTTCCACCCCCTCCAAAGAGGAAAGGGATTACTTACAGGTCTACTAAAGGATACCGCAATGGAAAAGCAAAACCTTACGCTGAAACAGCTACTCTCACTTTAAGCATTATTTCAATGTTCAAGCATTTCAAGCATGGCCAGCGGCCCCACTGCATCACCACAGATTAAATTTAAGGGAAAAAGTTCTAAAGAACACTGGAAACACTAAAAGCTTTGCTTTCCAAATAGCTGCTGCTGTGCAATTTATCAACTAGTAAGTTATAAATATGGCATCCAATCAACTGAAAACTGCTGGATTTCAGTTAGAAAAAGATTTTTTTTCAGTCATCAGTACCCCAGTATGACTTCAAACAGGAAAAGATGCAGAAAACTTGATTTCTACAGTGATTACAGACTATTTTAATTTTGCATATATTAGCATATATCCATAATAATCTTTGCATAGAAATGAACTGCTACAGGTTGCTGAACGTGCAACTGCTCTCCTACTACAACAGAGCAACACATTATGCCAAACAAAAAGATCTGATTTCTGCAGGAAAAACTATGATTTAGAATTACTGGAATGGAGAACATAAAACATTACAAGAACACAGCCCTAGGTGATACACCTGTCCTTGTTACTTGCACCTATTTAGGGGCTTTAGGAGAAGTTGTTGCTGTTAGTTTCCTCCCTCCTTCCTTCCTACTTCCCAACCCTTCTATACACACAGTCAATTTACACTCCTCAACACACTTAAACAGTTTTTAAGCAGCCAAGTCCTTTTCCAAGATCACATTAGCAATTCTAACTATTTGGTTACATATCCACAAAGAAGCACAAAAATAAATCTGAATTTCTGGTTATTTTTCTGTTTGAAATCTAATTCATGTTGAGAACACGCCGACTGATACTTAAATACTGCTTACTGTAATATGCTCATCTTCAGCTGCAGTCCATGCAGTACTTCTATCACTCTCTGTACATCGCCAAGAAGCTGGTGAGTGGCTACTATCTTCTTGGCATTCTGGTGGGAATAATTTTCTTCCAAAAATGCTAAGCCATGCATGTGACCATTACTTAACCACTCCTTCTCATACCAGTACTTTAAGCTGGACCTCTGACCTAAAGCAACAGTAACGAGCGTGTTAAAATGAAGCATTAACTCTGGTATGTTAACATTATTGGTAGTAATTCCGATTATCTCAAAGTCTTGCAACAGCTTATTTGTTCTTACCAACAGTACTAATAAAGATTCTATAACAGCAAACAAAACCCTGAAGACAAGAACAACTTGCGAAGTGGGAAGCAAGATAACCTCAGTCAAAAACCTCTGTCCAACCATAAAAGCATTCAGACCCCAAATTCCGTCAAAGGACATCCACAACAGGTAACTGCAGCTGATGCACAGAGAAGTGTTTTTGGCAGGGTACCACACAGCCATACTAAAGCTACAGCTTGAATACAGCTCCCTGCAGACAGAAAAATGCAGCAGAAGACAGTGAACTTCCCTTCCCCAGTAGTCTTGTTTTTAAGCATCATACCTGTATTAGTACAGTCATTGAAAAGTAAATTTTAAAGGAATCAGGGATGAGGTTCTGACTGAGAACTTGCCAAAGCCAGGCTATTAACAATGCTAATTGTAGCTTAAGAGGTTGGAATATCAACAACAGCTGAAATTAAATTATGTTAAATGGGATAAATGCATCAGTAAAAGTAACTTAAGCAGCCAAACAAAGTGATATTAGCAAAAAGAGTGGAACTAGAGATGCTTGCTAAATTGCAAAAACACATTAAAAAACTTTCAAGCCAAAACCCCCAAAAAAGCTCCCCCACACCCTGTAAAATGCATTGTTACAACACATGCTTTCAAAAGACAACTCAGCACCCTGAGAAATATCACATCATTCACTGGCCTATATACAGCCCAGTCAGCGAACCTGTAAAAATCAGAGACAGTGTCGGAGCACAGACTCAGAACAACATTCACAAGAAAGTCTCCAGTAGAAGCAGGTTAATATCGACTAGTCGTTTCAGCAGTTAAGGAAAAGCTAAAAAAAGTCAAGAATTACTAGGCATAGTAAGAAGAGGGGACTGCACTACATGCCCATTAGGTAGCATCACTGCCCATGCTATTCCCTTTGGCACAACAAAGCAAACTCTTTGGAAGCCACACTGAGAAGTGAGCAAAACAAGTGTTTACAGGCTTTTGGATGGTAGTTATAGAATGGCAGCCAAATGGTTTCTACACTATGCCCTGTATGAACATCCACGGACATAAAGGACACTTTCAGCCTCAAATTCAATACTAACACTCTGTCTCGATAAAGGAGTAAAGGCAAACCTGTGCGCTCGTAAGCGCGCTCAGCCACCGGGCTTTATACGACAATACTGGTTCCAGGCAAGACCTCCAAAAACTCTCAAACAGAAACCAAGACAGGGAAGAACCATTTTTCACGGCTGAACTTTTCAGGCAGATATGCTGTATCAAGCAAGAGATCTAGGTATGGCCAGAACAACTCCAGAGACATTCCTGACATACCAGTATTAATTCCCACGCATTTATTTTTGTGTTAGAAAAGTTACCATCTGTGACAGAAAATGATGTTCAGTCCACAAGAATAAAATTGGTTTTAGAACTCCATGTCAAGTCATCTAAACACCACAGAGATTATCCAACTGAAGCCCATTCATGGCATTGTTTACTTAGCAGTGTACTCTGAGACAAAAGCGCTCTCTTTCTGGGTGTACAAGCTTAAGAGAAGACACAAGACAATATCCAGCAATGTACGTTTTTATGGCTTGAATGAATCTGCCACATCATTATCATCTTGATGATGTTTAAGCAAGGGTAAATGTTAACAAATCTCTTAAATCCCACTTGATTAAAAAAACTGTCTAAAATGACAGTTGGTACAGTTTAGGCATAATTACACTAAACTTGCTTTTATTTCCAATAATATGAATGGTGCTGCAACAAAGTCCCAGCACTAAACTGAGAAAAGCTTCTAAATAAGAGTTTGCTGAATGGCTATGCCTAGTTTTAAAGGCAACTTCTTTGCAGATTCATAAAGCCTGTTTAGCTCATTTCAGAGCAACAGCAGATTCACTGAAATTGAGACATCACTTCTGCAGCCAAACAGTTGTGTATGTTTTCCTTTTCCAAGACAGAGGTAAAAATTAAGCCCAAATTAAAAAAAAAAAGTAAGTTTAAGGATCTTCAAAGCAGTAGTTAATAAATGATTAAACTGGGTAAGCAAATGAAGTGTTAGTTGTAATCAGTTTTTACCAAAAAGCATTCTGATAAAGTTCTTATTAAACACAAGTAGTTCAAATAGGATGGCACAACTTCAGTTTGTATTTAAACTTAATTAAAAGTGTACAACTAGCTCGAATTGACACAAACCAAAGCGAAATATCTTGAAAATAGAGGGTTAAAAACCTGGATGCAAGATACTGTTAAAAAACTTCAATAATGTTGGACTATTTTACTTCTTAGATAACTGAATGCAAGCACAGCGTGTCTTCCTTGCCATGAATACAAACAACATGAGTATACAATCTACACAAATCAATCTATGAAGGAGCTGGTAGTTTTAAACATCCAAAAAAGCAGAGATCAAAATCCAAATATGTGTATAAACTAAAACAGTCTTGCGATTAGGCAAACAGAGATCCCATTTTCTCTTAATTTATGAACATGGACTCAAGCCTGAACTTCCTCCGTTTCTACATTCAGCAAGGCTTTATAATTCATGGAGTAGGAAGTCAGAAAAGATCCACGTTAAGTGTAATTTTACCTGCTGCATCAGATGGACTCAGACATTTTAAAATACATAGTTCAGAGTAGAGAACGTATTGCTTAATCAACTCTGACTGCACTACCCAAGATAGATAAATACAAGTATAAATTAGCTTGGGTAATGCAGTCAGACATAAGGTCCATGGCTGTTAAGAACCAGCAAGCCTCTTGCTGGCTTATTTCAAAGCATGCGTAAGCCTGGTCTTGCTGGAGGAGAACTGCAGTCACATCCTGCAAGCTGTGACCAGGGGGAGTCTTGCTTAAGTTTCCCGAGTGCTTCTAAATTAGTTTTCCATAGCCAGAGAGAACAATCTGTATGACTGGCAAGTGTGTGGCAGATGGTCACCACAGTTAAAACATGCATTTCCATTCCTGTCCAGCTGTAATTACACACTATAGACTCATGTACATTCACATACATTAAACTTGCTGTATCTGTAACTGAACTCAATTACCTATAACGACAGACAACCAGGTGAGCAAAAGAAAAAAAAAGTTTTATCTTTGCTATATATATATATATGTATATATATATAAACACTAATAAGAGTTACTACATATATAAGAAGGCTCTGTAACCTTAAATTTCTGTACCTGGAGGATCTTGGCAAATATAGCAGGTATATTTCTCAGGTACATTATCTTCCAGTAAACCCATACAGACTCCATGCTGCCAGCACAGACACTCTTCACACTGTTCAAAGTCAAGAAGTGCACATCAACAGAAATGAAGCCTACAGGAGCTCAGTAAGATTACCTCAATTAAGAGACACATCATCTACATATTTTAAGACAAAAAGGTATTAATCCCCACCCACCTCTTCCAGCTACAAATATATTAAAGAATCAGACTACAATAAAATTTGAACCCTTCCCACACATTTTTCACATAGATTTCTGGAGAATGACAGCAATTACAAAGTGGAAGCAAAGATCCTAAAAGGTGCAAAAATGTTCTCTTTGGAGATGACAATCTTTCACATGATGCATGCACACATTATCAGGATAGAAAACAGTACGCAATCAAGTTTTCAGAATTAAAAGATTGCCCCTTCATCCAGTAAATCACAATCAATCATAAAATCCAAGGGATATACCACACAGGACTAGCCAATATCATGCTTTACTGATACTTGTATCTCTCACATTTTATCTATTTCAAAAGGTAACTCTACTAACATAAAGCCAACGTGCAGATGCAGTTGTACTAGCTTAAAAAACTTCTGCCATCCTTCCAAGTGTGAGCAATCATATTGGCAAAGACCGAATATAATTTGGCTCTACTTTTTTAGTGCAGTTATGCTATTTAAAATGCAATCACCGTACTTAAAGCTATACAGTTCTAGAGCAGGAAAAACTATATCCACATATTCTGTTGCAGTCACTCCCCACTCTTTAACAAGCAGACAAAACTTCAACTGCAGCCTAAAGACCACTGAAACATGGGACAAAACCCCACATAAGAATATTACCTCAATTTTGATTTGAAACTGTGGTGTCAGATCAGGATTACTATTTTCACAAGCAGTGAAACAACAGATCATAACTTTTATTTCCCAGAGCACAAGCCAAAAGCTTAATGCAGAGATGTCATCAACACGGGCAAAGGTTTTCAAAATGAGCTAAACCAAACACAAATGGCACTGCAGGCAATCGTAGATGCTGCTCGTCACTGACCTACAAAGATGCCAACTTGAGAAACATCTCATCCCT